AGAAGCTTCCCCTTAATGTGTCATGTAATATTGTTAAATTAACAATGAAGCTAGACTGTCAGAGCTAACAGACAAGTCTTGTTGTTCGCTGTTTGCTTGGAGATTGTGGATTGTGTTTTATTGTTCCTATGATTGGCAGTAAAAGCCTTATTTCACAGCTTGCAGCAAAGGGGCTATTGGATAAAGTGCCATGGTGCTCTGCAAGCTATAGTCAAAAACTGTCCATCAGAAGCCCACATCGCCTACTTAGAGAAAGGAGTTTCTTACTGATCCTTCCAAATGTCGTTTCATGCTGTCCTTGATTGGCACAGCCTGGCAGGGAGGATAGATGAATCTGTCACCGGCTGGTTAATTGTGTTGCTGGTCTCAGTCTGACATCAGCTCTTTGACTCTTAAGTGGCTCAATACAAAACAAATTAGGAGATTGTAGTCATATTTCTCTTTCTATATGCTCTGACTTTGTTGAATGCAGTCCATAAATCATATTGACTGACATCCTACTGAATGATGAAAGCTGCTTTTGAGACATCGAGCGTAGGCCGAGAAAGCAGCACCACCAAGGTGCCATGGAAGGATGCATATGGCTGACCCTTTGGGAATTTCCTAAGGGCCAAATGTTTCTTTACAGCAATTGTTCCTAAGAGAAAAGCTTTGGGGCAGTACAGAAAAGATTTAACATGTCAGCAGATTCTCTTTTACAAACGGCTTTGAAATATAAGACATTTGTCTGAGGATTTTCTCTTTTTACCAATGTGGTCTTCAGCAGATTTGAAGAAGAGGGGAAATCTAGGTGCAAATATCTTGTAGCAGGTGTTATTTTATGTAACAAAACCCTTATTTTGTGTGCTTTGTAAAGATAAAATAAAATGTAGGGATAGTTGGGACCCACAAATAAATTTAAAGATGTTAGAAGTAATGAGATAGTAAGAGCCATTATAAAACATAGTTAGTGTTAAAGAAAAATTTTCAATAAAATTAGTATTTATTATTATAAATTACTTAGGTATAACTTAACAGTAATTCAAAAAGCAGTATTACGTTAATGGATTCATACATGTATTATATATAATAGGTTTGTTTTAGTTTCTTTGATAAGCCTGAGCAGTAAAATATGGAGAGCTAAATTGTTCAACATGAATTTGGATTACTAGTTTTCATAAATAAATGTATTTAACAATTATATTTTCAACTTGGAAGAGTTATATTTTTAAAAAAATGTGTAGATAAATGTGTTAGTGTAATTTTATATGTATATCCACACATATACAGACCCACACAATGATTCTAGTATATTAAGCAGTCTTCTAGCTTATGGTTAAACTTTAGGTCTTACCTCTTTAACAAAAACCTAGTTATCTCAAATACAGATAATACAATATTTTTCCCTTGTGCATGTGTTTTTTAATGCCATGACAGCAATAAGCCTGTAGTCGGAGTGCATAGTTGAAAGCAATTCTGTTGCTTCTCTGCATAGGATGTTAGCATTTGTCTATCATCGTAGAACATACACTTGATGTACATTTATGAAACTTGGCTTTAAAAAAAGCCTTGTAGCTTCTCTTGTATCATGCATTGTAACCATTACCTTGTGGTCCACTACTTTTAATACATTTATCTGAAAGCTTTGAAATGCCTAGGTTGGAAGACAAACAGGAAATGGAATATAGTACACCAATATATACTAATAACATGTTAAATAGGATTTAATTTTGTGCTAATTTGGGGATGGCCAATATTTTATTCTTTATATATGTTATATGATATATGTTTATATCTGAGTCATTTTAGTCTAATGGTCAAGGCAACAGGCTAGAAATCAGGAGATGGTGAGCAACACAATTAACCAGCCTTAATCATGAAAGCCAGCTGGGTGACTTAGGGCCAGTCACTCTCTCTTAACCAAACTGACCTCACAGGGTTGTTGTTATGGGGAAAATAGGAGAAGGAAGATATGTTGGATATGCTCGCTACCTTGAGTTATTTGTAAAAATAATAAAGGCAGAATACAAATAAAATATTATAAAGGCATCTTAGTCAATCTGTTACATAAAATACAGGGCTAATCTCACAGAGCCCTGCATTACATTAAAACATGCAGTTGTTTTATTAAATCAAAATAAGACTTTCAATTAGTATCTTAAATCTGTTATCTTATAATTCAGTTAAGGCCATTGATTCTTATCTTCCCTTCTATCCCTCCCCTTCAAGACTCTGTTTTCATTCATATTGATACCGTTCCATTTGGGGAATAAAACTGCATGTCTGCTGGTGTACTTATGAATGACTTTTGCAGTTGTTTAAGCATGTGGATTGTGTATTCACTTTTTATATGTTTGGTTGATACTTGGCTTTTGGTAGTTGGCTTGTTTCAGTTGCTGTATAGTTTTAGAAAATATTTCAATTTTTGAATGACCAACAAAAAGACACCTTTTGAAGCAGCCTCTAGAGCTTGTTGAAGATTTATAGTAGGTACATGCTTCAAACATGATTTGGAAGAAGTACTTTGGAACTTGCGTGACCACAACACTGCTGGTACTCATTAAAATAACCCAACTTTCTTGAAGCTTTGACAGCAGTCTGAATAACAAGATGACACTCATTAAACTCTAAGCAGCTGAATGTTCTGGAGGGTTGAAAAAGGCTGAACTATATTAATGAAGAGCAGAGACGTACAATGACTGCATATTTTTCCAAATAATTTTTGAAGTTTGCACCACCACTATGGGTTACATGATACTATATATTGCCCACAAATAAATACTAAGGAGCAAAATAAGTAGAATTTCCCAAGAATATCCTTTTAATATTTTATCATAGTTGGGAACCTATAAATGCTAAATTGGTTTGCAGTGAAATGGTGATTCACTTTCACCTTATATTGTTTTCACACGGGACCACTTGCTTAATCTATGTATGCAAGCCATAAGGAGGCTCTGGTTTTGCCATTATCCTTTCTCATTTGTGGAAATTCTTCTGTTTCAAATGGGTTCTTTCAACTGTCCTCTGGTCACAAAAACATTTATTTAAAAAAGGCAGAATAATTGACATATAGTCCTCAACAATCAACCGATCACTTGGCAATCATTTAAATTTATGAGGGGCACTTTGCAAGCGGCTCACTTTATGGACATTTACAGCATCCCATAGTCATGTGAGCGTAAATTTTGACATTTTTTTGCCAGTTTCTAGCATTTACTTTTGGTTTCCAGCAAAAACTCCCGTTGGATAAAACAATCTTGCTTAAGGACCATGGTGTTTGCTCAACAGCTATGGTGTTTATTTAACGACCACAAAAAAGATTGTAAAATTGAACATGATCATAATTGCAGGCTCAGTTGTGGTCATTGAGGACTACTTACTCTATAGTATCAAGAAATAGAAATAGAAATTGGAACAGAACAGAACAGAATAGAATAGAATAACAGAGTTGGAAGAGACCTTGGAGGTCTTCTAATCCAACCCCCTGTTTAGGTAGGCAACCCTATATACCATTTCAGACAAATGGCTGTCTAGTCTCTTCTTAAAAACTTCCAGTGTTGGAGCATTCACCACTTCTGGAGGCAGGTTGTTCCACTGGTTAATTGTTCTAACCGTCAGGAAGTTCCTCCTTAGTTCTAGGTTGCTTCTCTCCTTGGTTAGTTTCCATTCGTTGCGTCTTGTCCTGCCTTCAGGTGCTTTGGAGAATAGCCTGACTCCCTCTTCTTTGTGGCAGCCCCTGAGACATTGGAACACTGCTATCATGTCACCCCTCGTCCTTCTTTTCATTAGACTAGACATACCCAATTCCAGCTTATATCCAGAAACACCCTTGAATTTATTGTCTTCTAAATCATTCCATTTTTTTTTCCTCTTGAAGATTCATATCACAAGATAAGATAAATAGCCTGCTCATGCTTGTTTTCTGGGAACTACATGGGCTCTGCAGCAGTACCAAAGTGATTTGGTCAACTTCCCAGTCTAGTATAAAGCCCTGGTATTTTCTGATGATTTATCCAACTAATATGTCTGATCCTTCTTATCCTTCTTACCTTTTTGAGATCAGCCAATGTCACCTCCATGGATTGACCTGATATGGCATTCGTTCTAAACTAAAACAATCTAAGAACACAATCTAAATCCATATGCAAATATCCTGGGCTGTAATAAGTGTGTAAAGGATTGTAGTGCAATTTAATATTAAATAAACATGCACAGGATGTCACTGTGGAATGCTACAGAACTTAAATTCATGGATTAGTTATATGGCCAGATGACTGATAAGATCATTACGGTGGTTGTTGTAAAGAAAAGGCTTTTCTTTAATATTGAAATGAGAAGGAGCCCAAGTTACTTAGCATAGTGCAAAGTTTGTTAATAGTTGGAGCTCTGTTTCTTTAGCTTAAATCCGAATTGGTCACTTATTAAAATATAAGTTCACTAAAATGAATGGAACTTCTTTTCTTGAAAATGCACACATGCCCAAAAAATTATATTGGCTCCCAGCAACAAGTTCTATACTGTTTTTATTAGCTATCAGCCAATGGGACTTAAACTGTTAATATGAAACATCTTTGAACAGTTATGTATATCTTAAATAATGGACAGCTTCATGCAAGTTGGAAATTTTTTAATATTTAGAATCCTCCTACTTACACAGAAAAATTCATGGATAGGGAGGAAAGCAACTGAGTGTTTTGGCAGAAAATATATAGCTTCCAGGGACATTTGTAGTAATATCCTGTAAATATCAAGACCTTTTTCGTCCCCTAATTTGTTTACAAAAATAAAGAACAGCAACAAAAAATAATATCTTACCCATTTTTGTCTATTTGAAAATTCTTGGATGTTGGCTCAAGCATCCAAGGGAAACTATTATTGTGAAACAAAGCCAAGCATTCCTTATCTGTTTGTCTTGAGTTGAATAAATGCTCAGGGTCGCAGTGGGGGGGGGGGGAGTGGGACATCTTTGTGACAAGAAGTGCCAGTTTATTTCTGTAATGTGTTTGCCTTTTCTTTAATAGGGAAAAGTAGCTCAGACTGCTTGTATGTCTGCTTGCCAGCATCTCTCAACCTCCCTGATGCAGATGCTGTTGGATAGCGACTTGAAACAGATCAGCATGGGAGCTATTCAGCAATTTAATTTAGATGTCATACAGTGTGAATGTAAGTATGCAATTCTGAATAAAAGGCATGCTTTGAATGTATAAACTATGGAAGCCAGAAATCTATGAGTCTGGCTTATCAGTTATTTGAAGTATTGTGGAATCTGGATGCCTTTTGATGTTGTGGTTTGTTTTTGGACTGAGAAGGAAAAACTACATATCTATTTTGTTTTTTTCCTGTGGAACTTGTAAAAGATTATTGGCTCTGATGATTTTCTGCCATTGTTGAGATCTTCCTAGAATTTTATTTGCTAGTACAGAGGATCTTTCTATGGACAATTCTAAGAAATTAAGCCACTTGAGAGAGTGACATTACGTTTGTTATTTAACTGAATTCATTAACATCTTTGTCTTAGTAATGATCCTAACTTTCAACAGAATTTTGCATGAGCCAAATGAAAGCTCTTAGTTGGTAAAAATAACATAAATATCCAAATATTCGTTATATGCCAAGTATTTTATTAAATTGATTTGAGCTGAACTTTCTTTTGTCTCCCTCTGCTGGTAACTTGAACATTTATTATAACAAAAGAAAATATTGCTTTTGATTATTAGTGTAGTGCATTTAAAGAAATTAAATAATGTAGTTTCGACTCAAAGTTTATGAAATAATATATTTTCGATACTACAGAATCTTTTTAATGTTTCTACTGCTGCAAAAAAGAGGCAAGTCCTGTGGAAATTAACTCTGATAGAAATTGCTCAGTTGTTTTCATCTTGTTGAATCAGAATGATGGGTTTCAAGAATTCTTCCCAAACATAAATATATACTTTCTTAAATATACTGTAATGGAATACTTGATTCATTCACCTCTTTATGTTTTTGGGTGCAGAAGATTGATATCCAATTTTACATTTAAAATTTCTTCAGATCAGTCTGAGCAGACACATATCTGCAAAAGTCATAAATTCAAGGATTGGTCATGAAGTTATTTTTCTTCACCTTCATAATTGTGAATGGTCGTTAAATGAGGATTACCTGTAATTGCTTAAATTAGCTTAATAATTGTTTGTCAGCTTTTTTTTCTTTGACATTCTCTTTATATTCCCTTTATGAACCTAAGAAGATGTTTACTTAAACCACCACAACATCAACAGACTGAACTGAACATTTGTTATAGATGGTTAGGTACTGGATATTCTGTCTTGCAAGAATTCTGGGTTAGCTGCCTCATCTGAATCCTTTCCAATCTCATTAATCCCTTTGTCTAATTATTGCTGCATCTTTTTTCTGCATCCTTCTATACTTGATTTCCTATTTGATAGATCCCCCCAAGCTCCAGAAATGGCTTTTTAGCTAGCAAACATTTACAATAAAGCATTTATTCAATAAAAAGCTTATATAGTGTATATTTTTTCTTTGAAATGGTCTTCATGAATATATATATAGTTCATGGGGAAAATGGTCTAAGTTACTTTACTCTAACATGATTTTATTTAAAAATCTACATTGAGAAATTTCCTGGAAGAAAATGTTGTTTCATATAGCCCATTCCTAGCAAACCAATTTTTTTCAGAATCCTGATTTATCATTCTGTGTAAATCTGGCTAATTCTTCCTCTTAATGAGGAATTCAAAGTAATTAACAATTAATTAATAATTTATAATCCTTAAAATCAATATAAACGAAAACAAGATTACAAATGTATTCTGTTTTCCTAAGAAATTAAGTCAACCCCCTCCTCACACACACACACGCAGTCAATAAAAATCATAGAATGTACCAAATCTAGATGCTTCCTGACATTTTTTTCCCACAAACTCTTATTATTTCTTTTCAGTGTTTGCAAGTTCTGAGCCTGTACCTGGATTCCATGGAGAAACCTTGCAATTAGCATTCATTGATCTCAGACAAGTAAGATGTTGTTATTTATTTATTTGGTTCCTTCTAAAAAATACTCCACAAATTCCGGTTGTTTCAAGTCAATTCAAATTCAGTTCAAAATTGTCTAAACATTGCTATATAATGCTTATTTGTATTTCCCAAGCAAAGCTGTTTTCTGAAAATGAAATGTTGCAATGTCAAATAATTTTGTCAGTTACTGCTACTATTGTTGTTACTTTATCAGTCTTTTAATTTTTTTATTTCTATTTGTTCACTTATCATACTTGATATTCCAACCTTAAAACATAACAGAAATTAATCCTGCAATATTAAAAAAAGGAATGAAGCCAACCATTCCTATCCTTAAATTTAACTATTTTTAAAAGATGTGGTTGTAGTCTTTTTAAAAAAGCTAACAAATTGATTAGATTCCTTAATCCAATAAGGAATGCATTCCATCTGTCTGGGGCGCTTATAGAAAAAGATCAGTTCGGAGATGCCAGTAGATGAACCCTAGCAACCATCAATAGACCTTCGTGGATGACTTAGTAGGCAGGAGTGGGGGGGATATAAAGAGGGATCAAACTGGAATGTCTTGTCTCAGGTAACCTAGATCCAAATGATGCAGGGCTGTACAAGTTAATAAACAGCACATAGTCATTCCTCTAGGAACAAATTGGCAACCAGGAAAAGGTTTTTAGTACAAGTGTACAACTAATCTGGTTTTGGTTAATATATCAAGATGGCTTGCATAGAGCACATAAGATTACCAATGAAGGAGAATATTTGTAACTCATGGTTGGAATGAGTTGGGATCCTCGGTGCTCTCTGAGCTTGCTTGTTTTCTTGCAGATGTTTCATTACCTTAACTAAGTAACATCATCAGTGCTAGTGAATTATACTGATGATGTTACCTAGTTAGGGTAATGAAATATTTGCAAGAAAACAAGCAAGCTCAGAGAGCACCGAGGATCCCACACATAAGATTACATAAGTTATGATTTTCCTAAACTTATTCCTATTTTTAATATTTTGGATAGGCTGCATAACTTAATTATTTCTGCTTAAATATACTAGTTTTGAAATCACATGATAATGTCAGGATTCTGGCAGATATCAATGCATTGCAGCAATAATGTGTTCACTGGGACTGGAGAGAAAGCAGATTTATCTATATGCTCATTTTACTTGGCATACTGAAGCAAAAGATAATGTCTCACCAGACAATTAAGACAAATTCGTTTAGCAAGTGTGAGATTACAAGTTCAGTTTTAAAATATGGATGTGCTAATTTGGAATGTGAGGACCACGACGTTTGAGGTTTAGCAGCCCAAAACCTAACAGTGGACTTGCAACTTAAATAAGAAACTTGGTATCCCATCGCTAAAGCATGAAGTAGCGTTGCCAACAGATAGTTCTCAGTGTCCAGATCTCTTGTTTGTAGGATATTGGTTACCCAAGTATTTTAGAAATAGATTAAAGTGCAATATGGAACTAGATGAACTTGAAGCTATTTGTTAGTCATGATGGTAGGTATGTTGTGTTACTGAGGAAGGTGTTTGCTTACTTCATCTATTCTTCGTTCCTACATTGGTGATTTCGCCTATATTCCAGATTCTAGGTTCTGCATCCTCTCAGCTTTGTAATATTTTGCAAATTGGGTCTTTTGAATAACAAGAACAGAAAAGTTATTATCACTATGTTTTGGTATTTTTATAAGTGCTTCATGAAAGGCAACACATTTTTGAAGAAATACAGTAATACACAATCAAAGATAAAAAATATGGCATTATTTAGGTTTATGCAATTTTAATATTGAGAGCTGAAAAAGAACTCAAGATTTTCTGGTGATAAAGGAGTATAGAGAAAGAAACTCTTCTTCATATACTTAATTTCTGCAATTCATTGGTACAAGATGAAAAGTAGGCTTTTCAATAGCAGAAGTAGCCATTTACTTTACCTTTGGTTGAAAGTTTATTCTGATCCAGCAAAGTAATCAATGAGAATTTATGTTCCTGAAATTTTCATGACCAATTCCATCAATTAATCAAATACCATTTTAATTTCACAGCAAATGTCATTAGTCACCATAGAGAGAGATCTTGTCATTCTTACCAAAAATGAGATTAAGGCTTTTCTTGGCAATTCATCTGTTATAGAAAATTCCATCATTTTAGATGAAACTCTTCAATTAGCAAAAGGTTGTATATTAAGATCATAAATTAGATGATCAATACGTAAGGTTGAATTCTAATATATTTACATTTTAATGAAATTACTGTTTTAATATATGCTGGCAGACTGCCTTATTTCTATAGGAGGTTATATGTTATATAAATGCAAAAAAAGGTAAATTAACTTTAATGTGATTTTTTAAAAAATGTATTTGATCTTAGAGATCATATGCAGCAGCATAACAGGAAACATTTTATTACAATATTACCTTTACAAACAGAAATCATATTTGAAAATATTTATTCTAGGGTAGGATCATGCTTAGAGCTCTAAAACTGAAACAGAAGGAACACAAGCATCTTTGTTCATTTGACCTGGGATATAAGTTAATCCTCAGAAAAATATTGTGTGTGGGTTTTTTTTACGCATCTAATCAATCAGTTATTTTACAAGCTTTCTTTGTTAGCCTAGTTTTTTCCCCACATATCTCTTGGGCAGTAAACTACACAATCCATGTGTGTATGTGTGTGTGTGTGTGTGTATATGTATGTATGTATGTATGGGTGTATATATCAGGAAGCATTGCTTAAATAAACATATACAGTATATATATAGTATATTACTATCTCAAATATTTATGCAACAATTATTGTAGTCAGTTGGCTACATTGTTTTCTTCTGCTTTTGAATGCAAAATTTGAAGTAAGTTCCCCACCCATTTATTTTTTTTTCTGTCTAACTCACAACTCGTGTCAATGATATTTAAGTTTTATGAAGGATTTAACACCCTTTCCCTCTTCTCTATTTATGATTCATTTCTCTCTTAATAGGATAGATGACAGTTCTTTTCAAGAATACTTAGAAAGGCAACAGAGCCATTTCAGAGGGTTATTATAAGAGGTCAGGCTTCTGTTCTTTAGTTTGAATCTGATACTGTTTCATGAATTGCAGGGTATGAAAGATAAGGAAGTAAGTCCAGTGGTCAGGTTTTACCTGCCCACCCGGACTGTGCCCTGAGGTCAAGCTCCTGATATTTGCTGTTTGGTGCAGAGGAGCTGATGACAGGTAGGGGCTGGTACAAAGGGGAAAGCTTGAACCATATCAAAGCTAAAAGGCAAGAGAATTGGGACATTGCAAGAGACTGTAGCTAAAAGATGGATCAGCAGGATTGCCCTCTTTTTAAAAAGTAGCTGACCTGTGAGAGAAAAAACTTTATCGTCCTGCCAATCACATGCTTGCTAATGGAAGCCAGTTATCTCAACAACAGTTTAGCCCCTTGGTGTGATTTCATAACACTTTACAAGATTTGGAGGAGAGGGCAGTACGTATTGGTAATTTTCACCAAGAATACTATAGCGCATATATAAAAGCTTGATAGTTAGCTAAAGAAATCTACATAGCTGTTTCAGAGATCTTCTTAGAAGTTTCCCTACACAGGGAATACACAGAAGAACATCCCGCCTAGCCTAGCACAGATGATAATCTACAGTACATAGTATTTTGCATCCCCTACGTAAGGATGGTTTTGTTTCTGTTTTATTGAAAGTGGCCTTCCAAAGTCATTTGGGCAGAATTATATTTTCAGATTGATTTCAAATTATTCGGTACACAGTATTTTAAGGCAAACAAAAGGATTTTCCAATCTAGAAAAAAAATAAATCCTAACTTCATGTATATTGTGATAAGAACTACAGTTCTGATAAAACTGCATTTTTCAAGGAAAGGTACAGCTCAGTAAAAATGCTAATCCAGTGTGGGGCTGATGTGGAAAAGCAAGTATTCTGATGAGAATTAATAGACAAGAGTCTGAAAATAGATAAATTTGGATAACTTTTTTAAAAAGAGATTAGGCAAATTTAGGAAGAGGAATTCTATATTGCTATTTAACGCAAGAGCTGTCTATTTTAAATTTTGTGACAATCCATTCCATACCATTTGGGGGAGTTCACAAGTCAGAAGGGCTATTGCATTTATGTAGTGCTTATGGACTTCTCATTAGGATCTGATATTGCACTGAGTCATACTGTATGCCAGTGTTTCCCAAACTTGACAATTTTAAGGCATGAGGACTTCAACTCCCAGAATTCCACAGCCAGCAATGCTGGCTGTGGAATTCTGGGAGTTGAAGTCCTCATGCCTTAAGATTGTCAAGTTTGGGAAACACTGCTGTATGCTAAAGCCCTCACAGTACACTCTGGTTAAGAACTCTTGGTTGTATCAAAAGTTTCTCCTAAAATGAGTAATGCCTTACAGCAAGGGTCTTCAAACTTGGCCCTTTTATGACTTGTGGACTTCAAGCTGGCTGAGGAATTCTGGGAGTTGAAGTCCACAAGTCATAAAAGGGCCAAGTTTGAAGACCCCTGCCTTACAGCAACTCTGTAAAGTCCAGTACTGACTCTTACAACCTTTTTATGGTTCTTCTATTTCAGTCTAAGTTTAATGAAAGTGGGAATATGTGCAGAAACTAAGTGTTCATAGGTGTAGTAGAAATCAGATCAATATGTGATTCACCAACACTTTGGATTTAGCACACCTCTTTGTTGATAGAATGCTTGGTGAGAACTGTTTCCTCTGTGATGAATATCAAATACATTTTGTTTTGTTTGACCGTTATAAAATTTGGGTTTGAATTTCTCCTGGCTTCCATTTCTTCTGGCTTGTATTTCAGTGACTTTCCTTTCTAGAAATCTTGGAATGTAGCCTATAAGGTTGGTATTTCCATATAAGGGCAGTCTTTACATTTAATAGAATTAAATTATTAGAACCACTTTCAGCTACAGTGGAAGGATAGGATAGTAATGCTCCAATAAAACAAGTTGGAATTTCAAATGTTATAAAAATGATTCCCAGTAATT